TCACTCTCCCTTTCTCTCTTTTTTCTGGTCAAATAAATAAATAAACAAATAAATTAAAAATATATAGTGTAATATTGGCAAGTGAATGGGCATATACATTAATGGAATTGAATTGGTAGTTCACAAATAAACTCTCAAATTTACTCATGTGACCTTTTACTTTTTAACAAAAAGTACAAAGGAAAAAAATTTTTTTTCCATTTTGTTTTGTTTTGTTTTTTAACAAATGGTGCTTGGACAAATGAATAGCCACATAAAAAAAATAAACCAAACCATATCCTTTACTTCACATGATACAAATATTAACTAAAATCACAGTTATAAATGTAAGCACTAAAGCCATAAACTTATAAAAAGAAAACATAAGAGAAAAATCTTCTTTGTCTTGAATTAGAAAAAGAATTTTTAGATAAAAAATCAAAAGCATAAACTATAAAATGAAATTTAAAAACGATAACTGGACTTTGTCAAAATACAAACAAAACAGTACTTAAAATGGCACTACTAAAAAAATAAAAATCCAAGGTATAGATTGAGAGAAAAGTTTTGAAAATAACACATTTGATAAAAGGCTGTCATTTGAAATACATGAAGAATACTTTCAACTCAATAAGACTAGATGGGGGTGCTCTGTGGGGATGATTGACACAGGAAGGTTCCAGATTCACATTCAGAGACCTCCCTGCATATGCCAGGCATGCATCTGCACATAATCCGGGCTGGCTTCCTACCCTCTGAGCCCTGTCAGAGGCAGATTAAGGTAGATGTTACTTAGATTCCCAGGCTTCTTTCTGGACACACAGATTTGAGATACAAGACAACTGATTTCTTGCCCACCTCCTCAGCATATCTCATTCTTTCTTGACGTCCTACAGGCAGGTCTTGGTCACAGAAACATTCATGTACAAATTTTTACGTGAACTTATGCTTTCAGTTTTTTTTTTTGGCTTTACATTCAGGAGTAGAATTGCTGGGTCATACACTAACTCTATTTAACTTTTGGAAAAACTACCAACCTGTTTACCAAAGTGGTTATATCTTTTTTCGTTCTTCCCAGCAATGTCTCAGCATCTTCGCCATTACCTATTCTGTCTTTTTTCATTGTAGTCACCTTTGTGAATAGAAAGTGGTTTTTACTGTGGGATTAATTTGTATATCTCTATTGACTGATGATGTCGAGAATTTTTTTTATCTATTTATTAGTCATTTCTATATCCTTGCAAAACTTTCTATTCAAGTTGTTTACTCATTTTTAATTGAATAAGTATTTGGATTTGGAGTTGTTGATTTGTAGTTCTTTGTATATTCTAAATGTAAGTCTCTTATAAGATATGTGACTTATAAATACTTGTTTGTATTTAAAAATAAAAATAATTGCTAGAGAGTGCATGCACTCACCAGAGAAAGACAGACAGAGGAAGAAAGCATCCCCCATTCCATAATCCTTTCTCCTCTATTTCTCCATTATGCTAGGATTTGGGGTGTATGCGCACACATGGCAGGCGTGTTTGTCAAACTACAAGGGCCAGGATTTGAACTGCAGTCTGCCATGTGTGATCGGGCTCCTTTAACCACTAGACTAGAGAATGGGCCTCTTTCTTACATCTTATAGGCTTTCTTTTCACTTTTTCTGTCATAGGGTTTGTGCGCTCACCAGAGAGGAAAGAGACAGAGGGTATGGAGAGAGGGAAAGTGAGAAATCACTCCCCAGAGAGGATGCCATACTACAATTCCTTCTCTTCCAACTCCTCTCAGAATTGGGCACACATGCACATGTGCTTGGCATGATTTTCAAGCTACCAGGCCAAGGACTCAAAGCATTTTCAGCCATGTAGGAATCCGGTTGCTTTAACCACCACACCACCTGCTGGTGCTCACTTTCTTGATTATGTTTTTGAAGAATAATATTTTCTTGGTTTGATGTTGAAAAAGCAATTGAAAATAAATACATGGTTTGATTTTTCATATACTTCAATCAAATCCTATTGAATTTTTATGTATATCTCTATTCTATTTCAATATATTGAACTTTTTTCTTTTCTTTGCTTTCTTGAAATTTACTCTGTTGACTTTTTTCTAGCTTTTTGAATACAAAGGTTGGCTAATTCATCTTTAAATATTCAGACAAATATTCATGCATTTAAAGTCATGAGTTTGCTTTTATTTACCACTCTTGTTGAATCAGATAAGTACTTTTTGAAAACAAAAATAAAACAAACATCCCAAATTTATTTTATTTTATTTTTTTAAAAATTGATTGATTGCTTTTTGCCATAGGGCATATGCACTTGCCAGAAAGAGAAAAGGAAAGAAAAATCACCCCCTGGTGTGTGCGTGGGGTGGTGACCACGCCACAATCACATTCTCCTGTCTGGATTTGGGGCATATCGCCTAGGTCTAGCTTGAACCACACAAGCAGTCATATGGGCTCCAGTTGCCTTAACCACCACATCACTGGTTAGCCCCTTTTGGTTTCTGTTTTAAGCTATAGACTATGTATCATAGAAGCTAGTTTTGTTGTATTTATATATTTTTAAAAAATTGATTATTTGGTTCATTGATTATTTTGTTCTCACTTTGTTAACCATTGCTTTTATTTCATTCTATCTTAAAATGTATTCAGTTTAATCTTAATCCACTGGAACTTGCTGCACATATATCTTAACATTTAAAACACTGCTATAAGAGTGGTTTCTTGATTTTCACTACCAGGGCCTTCTGAGGAACACCTATTCTGAAACACATAAGAAAAATCTTAAATTACTAACAATTCTGTCATGGCTCAGAACTATTTTTCACAAACCCAGCACTAAGTAATTACTTTCTAGGCATGTGATAATTTTTTGGTGTGGTTTAAAAGTGTGAAATGCACCTCCCACTTCCACACAGGAATTGATAATGGGTCCAGAATTCCATCTTCCTACCATGCATGGGTCTGTCGCTGATGGGCCTTTGGTCCTTTAATCTCCAGCCCCTAATGCTGCTGTCTGGATTACCAGGGCAATGCAGCCATGACTCTCATTCATCAATAAGGGCTTTTTAATTTTTTTAAAAAAATTTGTTTCATTAAATGCAAGTGTGCATTTTTAATGTATGTGTTTATACATTTCACATGGCATTATTATGCATTTAGAATAATAGGTAGATTTAGGTCTGTGCTCAAATTACCCTTTTTACACAGAAGCTTACTGAATTGTTTAAGAATGCATTATGAGACTGATTTGCTAGGATTTTATGACTTTTGCATGAAAATGGGCCTGCAATATTGTTTTTAATAGAGTTTAATAAATTTATTTTTTTTACTTAGAAAAACAATATAAACCAAAGCATATTTTGTACATCACCTCTGTAATAATTAAAATTTGTATAAATATTCGTGTAGATGGACATTGATGTAGAACATTCACATCAATGCTTAGAATTTTTTCCTAATTGGAACCTAATATGTACTCAGTTTTACATACTATCACAAAACATGCATTTGTTTATGTGGGACTTTTGTTTATTTTGGTTATGTGGGACTTTTCCTTATAACAATATTTCCTTTCTCTTATAATGGCAACAATATACTTCACATCTACTGGTGTTAACAAAAATTCTCTTTTAAATCTTATCCCCTACCAATTAAAAAGAAGAGGAAATTAAGTACAAGTATTTATGTGCTGAAAATAGCATATAACACTTAAATAACAATAAAATTGTAGGTTCTCTATACAGATTAATACATAGATAAGAAGATAGAGAAAAATCTTTATAGCATCATGTAAATTAGCTAATCGTTATTACTATTTAGGTGAAAATGAACTAGGCACAAATATATTCATAACTTAGACAATCTATCTGTTCCAAATTTTGTTTTAGTCTATTATATCCATTATGCTCACTGGACTGTCAATAAAAAATAACTAATTATTTGGCTTCATTGTATAATTAATCACTGCCACTATGACATCAATAAATATGAGATTTGTTCACTCTTTAATTCGATACATTTCTTTCTTCTAAAGAACTATTTATTTAGTGTTATTCATCACCATTATATATTTTAAACATTTCTGTAGAGCATATGCACTCACCAGAGAGAGACAGAAAGAGGGGGAAGTGAGAAAGCAAGCCACCAGGTCTAGGACTTGAACTATGTTCAGCCATGTGGGAGTCCAGCACCTCAACCACCATGCCACTTGCTGGTCTTGTCAATAAATTTCTATAGTGACTAGATATTTACTTCACCTTTCAGCTCTAGAACTGTTCTTTATTCTTGTTTTAGGTTTTTTACCATAGGGTGTGCCTGAGAGGACAGAGACAGAGAGAGACAGTGAGAGGGAAATTGAGAAATCCTCCCCCCTCTCCAGAAGGATGGCCACACTGCAATCCCCCCTCTCTATTCTCCTCATGGGATTTTGGGCACACATGCACACATGGCTGGTATGATTTTGAAGGCTCCAAGTCTGGGATTAGAACAGTGGTGGGCCATATGGGAGTCTAACACCTTAACCGCAATGCCACTTGCTGCCCCTAGCTTTGAAACTCTCAAGATACCCTGCTTACCACTCTTTAGATGGGTTTGGTATATTAAATTACTGTTCAGCAAATATTCATTACCTCTCTTTTGACCTATATGGGGAGAATATATTTCTATGCCCCATTGTACATAAACATATAACTAGCATTGACCCATGCGACGTTAGTACACGTGATGTAAACAGAGGCTTTATAGGTATTTGGACAATGTTCTTCTTTCATGAGCTTCTGCTATTGCATGAAAAGAATAACAATGTGTGGGTGGACCATTTAAAACACTGAAATAGGTTATAATTAAATGTGTAAGAAAGTCATGTCTCAAAAAGAATTGTAGCACAGATTTCATATACAGAATTGGTTAGAATGAAATACTTAGAAAACTTACCACATTTTGGAGAAAGCTGTATTTGCAAATGCACCAAAAACCAGATCTAAAAAGTCCAAGACCATTCAAGTTATGCAAGTAATTTTCCTCCTACCTTTCAACAGACAGGAAGCAGCTGAGAAGTCTGGGGAATCGCTAAGAAGGGAAAATGTGCCATCACCTCCTTAGGAAGAATGTTCCAGAGCAGTGGAATTAAGAGCTATAGGAAACACAAAGTGAAAAATAAAATGGTGAATTTCTCCACAAAAGCAAAAATAGGACCTAACCAAAGAAACTTTCTACCCTCAAAGTAATGGAACATAACCAATTTGTCTACTTACATTTCAGAATATCTGTGAACTACTGTTACCAGCCTCCCATCACGTCCCTGTCTGGAATGTTCATTTAGGTTATGTACTCTCCATTTCACCACTGTATATCATATGTGTGTTGCTGAAATATACTTATCTTTACAGTTTATATGTCTCTATGTTTTATTTATTTATTTATTTATTTATTTATTTATTTATTTATTTATTTATTTTTGTGTATTCAATCACTGTTTATCATTATAGCATGCAAAATGAGTTTTCCCAGTATGAATGCACTGTCCAGTTAAAGATCTTATTATACAGTTATCATCAACAGATCATTTTTCACCCCTTTGTAAGGTTATAAAAGTATATTCAAAGGCTCACTGAGAGGGGTTTACCTGTAACCTAGAGGTTCAGGGAGCTAGATCCCATATGACTGAACCACTGTTCAAATCCTGGCCTTAGTGGCATGAAAAGCATGCTGACACCTATGCATGGGTGCCCTAAGTCCTGAAAGGGTGGAGAAATGGCACAGAAGGATTGCGGCGAGATCACACTCTGTTTGGGAGGTATTTTCTCTCTCACCTCCTCTGTCTATCTGTCTCTCTCTGGTATGTGCATGCACAGTCTAGGTATTTGTTAAAAAAGGGTCACTGCGATAAACGCTTGGTGTAACTTTCATGAATAAATCTGAATAGTTACTCAACAGTAATCCTGCTTAGTCTCCCGTGAGCTCTTTGGTAGGCAACGTGTTCTCGGTCTATCTGAACATAGCAGTCCTCTGTAGCTAAGTAGGAACATTCTCAAAATTTTTAGTGAGGGTATTATTTTCCACTTATATTTTATCATTCTTCTGGTGTTGATTGTAGAGTTACCTCATCCAATGTCAGCAGGTGAATTTCTTAGAGACAATATCCTCTTCATTATGAGGCTGTAGATACTGTCGTTATAGGAATACTGGGCTCTCACATGCTCAGTTATCACACTGAAATGCAGCTATGTAATTTGCCCTTTGCCCTTAACTAGTCTCATAGGAATGGGGCTTTAAGTAGGTTTGATCTTATCAAAATGTCTTCACATCGAGTGAATGTGAGTGTTCATTACATACTTTAAAATATCATTTAGCACTCGGTAGACAGACCATTATGTCACTTAGATTCATTTAAAAATATGTGCCAATACGTAAAGCAGTAGATGAGTTAAAAACAAGTCTTTTGACCTTTATAACTCTGCACTACAGTGATGCTCAAACTGCAACATCAAGGTTTTACAAATAAGCAAACAGACTCAAAATAGACCATAATGTGATCAATATCAGGTGACTTAGAGTCAGATCTGACACTAGAACTCAAATCTTTTGACACCACATTTTTTTTTTTAGAAACAACAGATGCATAGCGATTATAATAGACACAGGGAAAGCTTCAGAGTGAAAAATACAGTATTCTTTTTATTACATCTTCCACTAGGAAACACACTTCCAGTCCAGGGATGGCTTGTGCTTGTTTGAATTTTCAGTTACATGAAAGTGCTCATTTGATTTTATTTGCATGACCTAAATTCACCCAATTAAATGTAGTAAACAATGTTTAATTAGGTACTGAATGCCTTAATTTTTCACCTTCTGCCATGGAAGTCATTGAACAAATTTTGGATAGATGAAGACAGAAAGAGAGAGAGGAAAACTCAGTGAATATTTCACAATTTGAATTTTCAAACAATATTAGATTTAGCTTTTTTACTAGAACTAACATATTTAAAATAATCACAATTAAATCATCAATGATTAACAACTTATTTCAATTTTGTGGATTTTTGTTGCAGAAAAACAATTCCTATGTGCTCCCCATTGCTCATTTTTTTTGAGGGGGGTGTTTGTTATAGGGCATGTGCACTCACCAGAAAGACAGAGAGAGAGAGACAGTGAGACAGAAAGTGAGAAAATCACCCTCCAGGGGGAATGGCCATGCCACATTCTCTTCTTCATTTTCCTCTTGGGATTTTGGGCACACATGCACACGCGCCCAGCATGAATTTAAGCCACCAGATCTGGGACTTGAACCATTGTCGACTATATGGGAATCTAGTGACATAGCCATTAAGCCAACTGCCGGTCCCTGCCATTGCTCATTTTTTTAAAGTTGATTAATTTCGGGGACCAGTAGGTGGCATGGTGGTTTAGGTGCGGACTCCCACATGGCCATTCATGCTTTGAGTCCTGGGTTGATTTCTCAACTTTTCCCCTCCTTCCTCTTTCTCTGTCTCTCTCTGGTGAGCACACATGCCCTATCACAAATTTAATAATAATAATAAAATTAAGTAAGCAATTCTTTTTCAAAAAAGTTTATTAGTTTATTAATTTCTTTGTTTCTTCCAGGAGAGAAATATAGAGAGACAGAGAGAGAAATAGCCATCCCAACAGGGTCTGCATGCTGCAATGCCCCCTGGCCTCAGCCAACTCAGGTCACTGACATGCATATGTGTGGTACAGGAGGCCCAAGGACACAAACCCAGAACCTTCCCATATGGGGCCAGCATCACAGAATGCTGCCTGACTGCTTTGCCACTGGCTGACTCTCATCTCTCCTGTTTAATGATCTTGGTCCACACTGAGTGGTGCGAACCAAAGTAAAGCTATTCTTTCTGGAAGTTGTTGAGGGACCAGCAGTTGGCGTAATGGCTATGTCACTGGACTCCTATGTAGTCGACCGCAGTTCGAGCCCCAGACCCAGTGGCTTAAACTCACGCCAGGCATGTGTGCATGCGTGCCTAAGATCCTGAGGAGAATGGAGGGTGATTTCTCGCTTTCTGTCTCTCTGTCTTCTCTGTCTCTCTGGTGAGTGCATGCACCCTATAGCAAAAAACTTCTCCAAAGAAAAAAAAGGAAGTTGTTGATCACTACACAGCAGTATAAATTTTTTCTCCCCAAGGAACAAGGAACTGACAAACTTGAATTACTTCTCTTTTAATTTGTTTCTAATAGATCCATTCTGTCCTGTGGCTTTAGGTCCCACAATGACTTTATATAAACACATTCTGTTTACAGCATTTCTCATGATGGTAGTAATTATACAGAAAAAAACACACTATTCAGGAACTGGAGAGGTTATAAAAAGGAGATGGAGAATATGAAGGTGATATTACAGAGCACTAAAAGGACCACACACCTGGTTTTCACACACATAGCCAAAGACAACCTGACAAGTAGAATCATAAATTCTTCATGCTGTACTTGCAAAACAGCTGTGTCATTATCTACTTTAAATACCACTTATTCAGAAGGCTATGTGTAGAGACTATGTGCATACACATACATTTATAAGAATTAAATAAAACAAGCACGTATGTAGAAGTTAGAGAAGAAATCCTAGAAAAGCTATCAAGAAAAAAGACAAGATCATTTTTAGGAGAAAAGAGAAACTATCTTGGGTTTTAGAGGATAATACATCACAGAATTGACAGTTTTTCAAAATCTACTCTGTAACATTTTTTTCAAATAGATCAAATTAAAAATATGTATTTGTATATATAATCTGTAATCAACCAATGAAAACTTCAAAAAGAAGAAAAAAATAACAAGTGAGCAATTCCCTTATCTTAACAGACAATATTCTAAGTCAATACATTGTTTTTGTATTGATATAAAAATGCATCAGGTTTTGGGACCAGCAGATGGTATAATGGTTAGGTTGCTGGACTTACACGTAGTTGACCGTGGTTTGAGTCCTGGACCTGGTGGCCTAAAATTCATGCTGTGCACATGTGCATGTGTGCCCAAAATCCTGAGAGGAGGGTGGAGAAGAAGAGATTGCTGGGTGGCCATCTCCCTGGGGGGTAATTTCTTGCTTTTTGTTTGTCTGTCTCTCTGGCAAGTGTACATGCCCTGTAACCAAAATCTCTATTAAAAAAAAAACAAACATCAGACTTCTGAACTTTGCAATTATCAATATTTTGAGCTAATTATTGGAGGGTTCCCTATACATTTGTAGGGTATTTGACTGCAGTTCACCTCTACTAACTAGACAACACTAGCATCTACACATTTGCAAAAAAATACATTTAAAAATTATTTACAAATTATATGTTCGGATATTGCCAACTATTTCTTGATTGGAAAAATCACTCCCTATTGATAACTACTGATAGAGATAATTTGTTTAACATGAAAACAGGAACAAAAAAAATCCATTCCACTAATTCATTAAATATGATTTATCAATACATTTACAATATAATGCCATATCCATGCCCACATGATCTTACATAATCTGAACCCACCTACCTTACCTCCTATATTCCACTCCACAGTCACTGTATTAACTATCTTAGTTTGCTGTTACCGGGAAAGGCCAAGTAACCCCCTACTTCAAATGTTTACACTTGCTGCTTCCTTTCTCTGGAATGTTCTTCCCCAAGACAAACACATGACTTGTTCTTTAACTTCCAGTTTCACCTCTTCACCCTATTATTTTCTGTCTCTCCAGTAGAATATTAACTCTGTAAGGACAGGGACTCCATCTCATTTGCTGCTGTAACCTTATAACCTAAAACAAGAATTTGCACATAGGAGGCTTTCGGTGCATTTCTTGAATACATTTTCAAAAGAAAAAAAAATTTCTACAACTCATCAAAAAAAAAAAAAAGATAAGATTTAAAAGAGGTAGCTAATAGAAAAAGTACATGTACAGTAAACATAAGCAGGTGTTGACCTCAAAAATAATTGGAGATTACAATTTCAAAGAAGTACATGCCATGTCAAATCTGTAAGCTTGGCAAAAAATTCCAGAATTATTTTTAAAGGCAAGGATGAATTTTAAAAGAAGCTTTCATATGCAGCTACTAGTGGTGTCGGATGTTATAAAATGTTTGAAATATAGTAAAAAACTATTATTGTTGAAAATGCACA